CACAACCTCCACTATTTTTGAGAGTTTTTAGGCTTGAAGTCAGTTCTTTTGGGAGGAGATTAGGAACTATCTATTGTATTGCCTGCTTCTCTCCCTAGGCAAAATATCTGGGCCAGAGCTCTAGAGATGGGGATGGGGACAATGGCAAGCTTCTTTCTGAGTGACATCCCTGCCACTCCAGGAGCTGAGCACTGAGTGAGGGGCAGGGTGGAGGGCAGCAGTTTAGGGTCCTCTTGGCTTGCCTCACCTAGCACTGAACCCAACGCCTCCCTAGCCAGTGCAATAAAGATCAGGGCCCCAGTATTCTCAGCATGCTGCACTCAAAGAGAGACTCCATTCCATGAATGGGGGCAGCAGGCTATGCAGAAAAAGTGAGAGCCCACCTCTCAACTGCATCCTAAGGGGATTTAGCCTCAGCATCAGTTAGCAGGGGGCAGGATGAGAAAAGCTGACATCCTGCTTCTGTGTTCTTGGCTGCAGTAGTCTGGAGTGGAGTCTCCACCTCACTGAGCTGGGAGCCGGGAGGGAGGGAGCAGACTTGGTTCAAATACCACAAACTCTCATCTTTCTTACAGAATTTTCATAGATGTTCTTGAATAGTTTTTTCTTCATTTATTGTTCACCCATAGGACCATTTTCAGAGCTCTAATTTTTTTTTTCTTATAGTTATCACCAGTTTCACTGGGGAGCTCCTCATGTTGTTAGGCCAGAAATCAATCTCCAGAAGAGAACATTTTTAACGCTTTGGTGACCCAATTATTTTCTGTTTTGAAATTTTTGTTGATACCTGATACCATGTGTTTTCATTAATGGAAGGATGCTAAATCATTGAGTATGTCTGAATTTTTGGTAGGTAGTATGGATTTTTTTTTCTTGCCTTCTCCCACAAGCCTACCCTAAGTGTTTAGAGGTACATGTGAAGTAACCACTGATTATACCCAAGAGTCCCCACTGGGGTCTACTGGTACATAAGTGTAACAAATAAAAATGTTTAAAATTTCTATTTTTCCTACAAAAAATTCAGACACCTTATATAATACCCTGTAAAAACAGTAATTTCAGCACATGCCCATTTCTTCAGTTTCAAACAGTCACAAAGCGCCCTGCCTTTTGGCAGTCTGCACTGTCAATGGTACAGTAGCTTCCCAATAAAAGCCAGAGGTTGAAGAAGTTCATGGTCACTGTATGTACTGCCGGGCATGAAAGGGTTAAGAGACAGGAAAGAGGTGGAATTTACAGGACTCAGGGATTGATTGGATATCAGAGTTTGGGAGAGAAAGGTTTCCTTCTGATGCAACTGGTGGAGTCATTCTGTGAGATACAGACCACAGGAAGTAGAGCAAAATCAAAGGTTCTGCTTTGAACATGTTGAATCTGAATTGCCAATGCACATCAAGTGGAATTGTCTTTGACATCTGTCTATTCATCTATAAAATCGGGATAACATTGTGCGCCTCCACCTCACAGGGCTACTGTGGAGAACAAGATAAAGCACGCTAAAGGCCTTTGAAAAGAACACACCCTGTCAATCAGCTGTGATAGTGATTCAAATTAAAGCACTAACACGTTCATTTTCATACTGCCAGATGCAAAAAGCACACTCTAATTTTATTTTTGAAAATGTGCTACTGAGTTTGTTGCTAGTCACACATTCTTTTTTTATTTTCTGAGAGAAGGCAGAGCTGATGGTACTGGGAAACTATGTAAACAATATATGTATTTTCAAAAACCTACCCTTAAGGAGTGTATGTGAGAGGCAAAAAGATTTTAGGTCTGGCACTCAGAAAAGCCAGTCTTTTTTTGTGGGACCATGGACAAATCATTTAAGCTCTTTAGGCATCGCATTCTTCATCTGTGAAATCAAAGTTTGTACTTGTTGATTTCTAAGATCTCTTACTGTTCTCACATAATGAAATGATTGATTCTCTTAACATTTGCAGCTTTACTTACCTTCTACTAATGATGCTCTTCAAACTTAATCTGTAATTTGGAAAAGAGTTTCACATGCACCATCCTTACCCCGATTAGCTCAATCTTTAACAGCAATCTCCTTTTTGGAACAAGTTCAGCCAGTCCAGATTGCCTGTTACGTCCCAGGCAGGAAAGGTTATTTTCATCTATGTACGAGGGATAAGGATCTAGAAGGAGCGCTGATTCCTTTCTTCTTTAACTGCAGCAGGATTCCATTTACCACTTAGTCAAGGTGGTAATGAGAGTCTCTGTACCAGGCAACTGTGGCTGCCATCTGGCAGGCAGGCACCATACACCCAGCAGACAGAACCAATTAGTCGGTCCCCACACCTCCCACGAGGCCTTCCTGTGTTTGGTGGCTGGGTGTTATTCTCACTGAGCCTCACATAAGAAACCCTGTTGAGTTCTGGGATGGGAGGGGCAAATCATCTCCCCCTGGAGCCACAGAACTAGCACAGAAGCCAGCTCTGTCAAGGAAGTCCAAGAACACGTTATCCACTGAACATGCGTTGTAATGAGTGGAACAAACACACTATCTATTGTAACAATGGCAGAGTCCATGGCAGGAATGGGCTGCTTGATGTGGTTGAAGGAGTGTGAAGAAACAGATTTCTATTTATAAGAGAAAAACTGCAAATAAGGGATTTGTTAAAAGAAACATGTTGTAGCCAAATAAAGGAATGGGTACAGTTTGGTGATTTAGGACCTAGATTCTGGGCTTAAATTATAGCTCTACCACTTCTCAACCTTATGACCTGGGCAAGGCATTTGATCTCTCTGTTTCTCAGTTCCTTCATCCATGAAGGGAAGATAATAAGAGTTCCTACCTCATTGGGTGCTTGGGAGTAGTTTATTAATTAATATATGTAAAGTGCTTAGAACAATGCCTGGCACATAGTAAACGCTATTTAAGTGTAAGTTCTGAGTGTTACTCTCATAGAGTCACTAAAGATGATGTTTAGGGTAACTTTTCTAATGCCAAGAGAGGATTCTTGATGTGAAGTGAATTGAGCAGGAATACAAAAGGTATATACATAGTGATTTTCATTCTGTATGGCTATGCATGAAAAAAAGAAGGGAAGAAAATGTACCACTATGTTAACAGTAGTTTTTTTGGTGGAGCTTTATTGTTTTCTTATTTATATTCTCCCTCATTTTATATGTATATTAGTTTATAATTAGAAAGGTCAATAGATACATAAGAAGAAAAAAAAAAAAAGAAGAAAGAAAACCTGGGTAAGCATCTTACCCCCATTCTTTTCAGCCACTTCAAATTTAATCATCTATAAAGTGGTCATAGAAACACCAATGGTCCCTACCTCACAGGGTTTATTCGAAGGAGCAAATGATGATACTTATTTGAAAGCGATTAGTCAATAATAAAATGTTTTATAACCATAATATTATTACCAAGGTCTTCCTTGAGGAGCAACAACAACAAAATTATATTATAGTCATGCATCACTTAACATCCATGATACATTCTGAGAAATAGGATGTTATGTGGTTAGGATGTTGTGTGAACATTGTATTATATACTGCTGCTGCCTATGAGTCAAAGCATATGCTGTTATAAGGTAAAATTTTTATTGGTAAGTAGGGAAAGTTCACATTAAAATAATGATAGAAAGTACAATACAGTACATACATAAGCCAGTAACAGGCATTTATTATGGCTATCAAGACATATGTATTATAGGTTATACATGCACTCTACCATTACACACCTGGCAGCATAATCTCTTTGTATACAAGAAACATGAGATACGCGTGTTGTGTGCAGGAAGCTGTTGTGTTTGCTATGTCCGGTTATGTCCGCTATGTCCTATTCTCTGATCAGGATTCCTCAACTCTGTTATAACCCTATGGGACCACGGACATATATGTGGTCGAACCTAGCCTGAATGGATGTCATGTGGCGCATGACTGTAATGTCAGGGTCACAATTAAGGAAAAACTCGGAGTCTTTAGAAGTTCGTAATAGATTATTTCACTTCTGCTGGATAATTATCTCCTGTTCCAATCAGGCTCTAAAATCAAGGATTCATTATGGGAAGCCAAAACAACAGCATAGGCTGTGCCACTAACATATTTGGAAAGTCTCTTTTATTTCTGGACCTCAGGGTTCAATTAGACCTTGCAGAGTATAGTCTGAGATCCATTGCCGGGTTGCTAACTGCTCCAAAATTGTGATCCTTTCCACAGTTCTTATGGGCAAAAGATCACAAACCTACAGGCTTTCATTTTCTTATATGACTAAAAGACTAGTTAGTACCTCAGTGATTTAGTAAGGGCTGCTAAAATCATAAACTAAAAATAGTTATGTTAGAGTTTACTGCAGACTCTAATTCAGTATTCTGCTAAAATATCTCGCTGTCACTTAATGCTTGGCAAAACTGAAAAACTCCTACTGTATGTATCCATTTAACTGCAATTTCAGCAATTTTTGGAAATGGTCCTTTGTTATCAATGAATCGGTAGTTTTGTCTTGATTTGGATCTAGTTTTCAACTACTGATATTCTTGCTTTTTAATTACAAATTTAAAATAATTTAGATTAATCACTATCAAATTATCTTGTGGATTATTTGGTTGATTCTTAATGAATGAATGATATATATTTCTATCAAGAGAGTTTATGGCCATAATTTTCTAATACCTAGACATTGTTGCATTAGATTTTGAAAATGAATGATCTCTTCCTGTAATGTTAAAGAGACAAAGCCCCTAAACCCACTCCAAATTTGCATGTACAGTGACACCTCATTGTATCACTGAGTTATTTTTCTATAGTGAGGTAGCACAGGTAGAATGAATTGATCAACTGAATTGGTGGTCAACAAAGATGCAATATACAAAATGACCTCAAAATTCATTTTCAGATTGGAAACCAAGTGATTATAATTTCTACTTCATGCAGAATATAATTCATTACCATTTGTAAAAGTGTGTATTTGTGTGAGCCTATGTTTCCATCCTAATTGAATTTTCCTAGCAAATTACCAAGAAAAGCTTCAGTATTTCTTATTACTCACTTTGCCATCCAGAAATCTGCTATTGCATGCTCTTGTTATGATGGGTTTTTGGTTGTTCTCTGGGTCCTTGCGGTCTTCCACATCATCTGGGTTACAATTGACTCGCTGAGCTCTGGGTTTAATGGGAGCCGGGGGTTCTCTGCTCATCTGCCTTGCATTACCAGTCACTGATTTCTGAAGCGCTGTTTGAGTTTCACTGAAGTTTTCATTCTCCTTGCTGTGAAGAAACAGTTTTGCACTTTGTTACTCACAGGGCAGACTATGCTTGTACTGGGCTGGTCCAAGAAAAGGAAGGTGTTAGTCTGGAGGTGTCAGCAGCAGCAACTCAGCATGGTGGAATGTAGAAGTAAATGTTGGTTATTTGTCTGTGGATCATTTGCCATGGAGAGGCCACGTTATTACCTTCTCAGGCTTTATCTTTTCCTTTCCCTCTTCCTCATACTCATAAAGACAATCTATTCATCTGCTCCAAAGCCTTTACTGGGCAGCATCAAAAATAAACTCTAACAGTTACCACATTTCTTAATAACAACCCTAACAAGTATTTTCAAATATATATATATATATATATATTTTCTTTTTCAACTAAAAAGGAAGAAAGTTGAAGCAAGATGCCGGCCCCAGTTTTGTTCTCTCCTTAACTGCCTCATCTTCAGATTTGCTCCTCTTAGCAATCCTCCATTTAGGTTTAGTATTAAACAAAGAAAAAGAAAAAGAAAATCTTCCATAGGAATGATTCAAAGAAATGCAAATAGGAAAGAAAATTCTAAAAATTTTTCAAGCTTGCTTAATAACTAAAGACTTGCAAATCAAGGCAATAACTTCTTTGAAAAAAAAACTCAAGTGCTGGGAGTCATATCAATAGATATAATTTATAGTAGGTGACCTGACAAGACATATTAAGAGTCAGGAAACTGTTCAAATTATTTGATTTATTAAATGAATTCATGAGAATGAAACTCTAAATATTTAGTAATAGGTAGATTGATTGGATATCTCATTTTAAGTCCACATGATGGGATGTTATGGAGCCATTAAGAATAATTTTAATGACACAATAAAATGTCAAGTCATAAAAATAAGTGAAAAATATGATTACCTCAACTACGTAAAATTGATGTATGTAATGTTTGTGTTTATGTGTGATGTTGTTGTTAGATGCCATCGAGTCGGCTCTGACTCATAGTGACCCTATGTACAACAGAATGAAACACTGCTCAGTCCTGCACCATCCTCATAATCGTTGCTATGTTTGAGCCCATTGTTGCAGCCACTGTGTCAATCTATCTCGTTGAGGGTCTTCTTCTTTTTCCGCTGAGAGAAGGTATGGTCAATAATATCAAATGCTGCAGAGAAAGGTAAGTTCTGAAAAGTGTCCATTGGATTTAGCCATTAGAAATCTCGGTAAGGGGAGTTTCAATGAGGTAATGGAGGTAGACACTAGACTGATGCTGGCTGAGAAAAGAGGGGGGACAAGAAACTGAAGAGGAAATTTAAAGACCTCTGTGAAGAAGTTTGGATGCAAGAAGAGAGAGAAAGATGAACTGACTGGGGTGGAAAGTGGAGTTTCAGGTAAGGCTTAATTATTATTATGCTTGAAGATGTGAGAGACTTTAACACATTTCAATGGTGAAGAGCCAGCTGAGCTGGAGAAAAGGACAGGATTTACGTGATGAAATAAGATGAACCTTGACAAAGTGAGATGGGATGTCATTGAGAGTGCAGCTGCAGAAATGAAGCCGTAGGGAAGGGTCATAGGGAGATACGTGAGGATAGAGGCAAGTTTGTATGTCTGGTGAAAGGAGTTTGATCAAGTTGCTGACAGCTTGAAATTTCTCTGATATACAAGGTATGGTTACCTGTTGGGGCTCATGAGGCAAGTGATGGGGTAGGAAGTCTGAATTAAGGGTGATGTCTTGAAATGGCTTCTGTGAAGAATGGAAGAGAGAAATGACCAGAAAAATAAGAAGGGTTGGCTGAGCACAACTGAGTGGCCACTTAAGGTTGGAGATAACGAATTTTTGTGGCATCAGTCTGAGAGCGTGCATGCTCTCCTTTAGGAGTGCCCGTGGCCCTGATGGAGATGCAAAGAAAGCAGAGAGTGGCCTTTATCCAGAACTAGAGCTTTGTCAGACAGGTGTACTCAATGACAATAGAACAAGATGAGAGTATTACAATGAGAGTGTATATTTAACAAATAGTTCCTGCAAAGAGAAGCAAAAAAACCAAAACTTGTTGCTGTCGAGTCCATTCCAACTCATAGTGTCCCTATAGGACAGAGTAAAACTGCTCAATACAGTTTCCAAGGAGTGCCTGGAGGATTTGAACTGCTGACGTTTTTTGGTTAGCAGCCGTAGCACTTAACCTCTACGCCACCGAGGTTTCCAAAGAGAAAAGAGATAAAATATATGGTCCCTGAAATCAAGACACTTAAATTTCATTTGGCTGTCTGAAATAACACAAATAATAGTTATAATTTTCTGATATAAACTTGCTTCTAGAAGTCAGGATACTGGTTATCTTTGGTGGGGTAGAGTCAGAAAGGAGAATGAGGGGACTTCTGGGGGTTCTGGTGCTATTCTGTTTCTTGCTGTGGCTGTTGCATGGATGTATCACATTTGTGAAAATTCAGTGAGCTGCACACTTATGATATGTGTACTTTTATGTATATATAGATATATTTCTATAAGGTGTTAGAGACTGATAGAAAATTTACACAATACAAAACATACATAGCTACCATATAAATAAATGCCAAACAGATATTACAGAGAACCAGTGCTATTTGAAGTTCATGTGAAAGAGAAATAACTGTAAGGGTTACAAAAATGATAGCATTATTGAGCATTTAACTACGTGACAGCCACACTATAAACCATTCACATACATTAGTTTATTTACTTCTCAGACCAATCCTATAAGCAGGTGCTCGTAATCTCATTTTAGGATGAGAAAACTAAGGCTCAGCAAGTTTATGTGATTTGTCCAAATGTATAGATTTCTAGTAGTGGAGCCAGGATTTAAACATAAGTCTAACTTGATTGCAGAAACTCGGATCCTAATCACTCATCCTACTGCACATACAGTTGGGAGGATCCATGGAATTTGGAATTATATGAAGAGCAGAAAAGTACAGGAGAAGGCAAGGGAAGCAGAAAACGTAGGCTTTGAAGGCAAAAATGGTCATGGGGCAGAGAGTTAACTTTTTCTGGAGGAAGGCAAACGGACGATATTATCTTTACTTAAAAAAAACCAGTTGCCTGATGATTGCACACATGATTAATGTAACTGACAGCACTAAATTGTACACATGAAAAATACTGAATTGGCAAACATCGCGTGATATATATTTTCACAATTGAAAACAAACAAACAAAAAAAACAGTTGTTGTTGAGTTGATTCTTATGGCGACCTCATGTGTGTCAGAGTAGAACTGTACTCCATATGGTTTCCGGTGGCTAATTTTTCTCTGAAGTAGATTTCCAGACCTTTCTTCCAAGGTGCTTCTGGATGGACTCAAACTTCCAGCCTTTTCGTTAGCAGCCAAGCATGTGAACCAATTGCAATACCCAGGGACTCCTTTAATCACCTTCAAAATCCTTTAGCGGAGGTGGATAATGGTGATGGTTGTACAACACGATGAACACAATTAATGTTATTGAATTATACATGTGAAGAATGTTAAGATGGCAAATGTTATGTTACATCTACATTTACCACAATTAAAAAAAAAATCCTTTCATGGGCAGTCTCAAGACAGAATTGCCTAAGAAATGTGAAATGTATCTGCCTGTCTGTTAAACAGCCCCAGTAGATGTAAAACCAAAAATAACCTGTTAAATCTGTTCAGAGTAAAAGCAGCTAAAAAAAAAAATACATAGCACTTTAAAAATTATCATGAAAATGACTACCCAGCTGAGAAACGGCATGTGTCTGTCGTTAGCACAAACAATTCGTCAACACACATTGGTTGTTATGTTGTTCACAAACTCACAGTTCTTTCTTCGATGCTTGTGTGCTACCTACCTACATTACTGAGAATAGAAATCTGCCATTTCAAAAGAATGAAAAAAACGCTATCTTGGAAGCAAGACACAGCTAGGGCCCGCATATGTACTTCTGACCTCAGCTGCTGCACCCAGGGATGCCGTGAAGAGTTTAGTGTCATCCAGGAACCAGAGCAATTAGAGAGGATTACGGTGCTGCTGGATGATAAATACATGCGGAGAAAACTGTCCAATGGTTCCTTCTCTCACACTGGGCTATTCCTGCAAACCAGCCTTTTAGTGCCACCCTGTATTAGGGCTCAGAGTCTCAGGGTTAGAGAGAAAACATTGTGAGGGGCATCTAGTAGCTTCCTCTGCCCAAAGCAATATAGGACTCCCTCACCGGCCCCGCCTCCCATGCAACTCAGACTCACCAGATCTCACATTTGATTTGGATTACACCCCTGCTGAGAACATAAAATCTCAAACGGAGGACCCAGGGGGCTCAGCTAAAAGGTCACCAGATGCCATCTTAAAGGTCTGCCAGCCTTGGCAGCGACTCAATGCTACCAATTGCCAACTGTGCACCATCTAACAGGCCCCAAGCCCTCTGAAGGATACAGTCCAGAGTATGCCAAAGCAGTGAATGGGGATCTAATTTCAGTAAATGAAAGTATGTTCTTATTTGGAAGTAGTAAGAGAGAATCCATACAACCAGACTTTTCTTTTTCAAAGAGACGACAGCATAATAAAACATAAAATGAAATTGGGGAGTGGGGTTTGGCTGAAAATCTCACCA